ACTTTGCCCCTGGTGACGGAGAGTCGGAGACCGTGCACTTTCTGCAACCAGGAACACACAAATTGGGGATGTAGTGGAGGGACGACATCGTCTATTAGGTCTACCTGTAGTTGTGCTTCCCAAAAAAATTGCGGTGGATATTAGAATAGACATGTATAGTAAGTGTTTTGTGCCAGAAGACTTAACGAAATAAGTAAATGTACCACAAAAGGGGGTGAACGTGACCATAACGAAGCGGAAGTTCGGAACCAGCCAAAGAAAATGCAAAGAAGAGTAGTATCGTAAAAATGCATGTCATTCATGAATGACCCTCCACATCCCTCATCGAAGGCAATGTGACCACGCGTGTCTCTCCTATACCTGGGAGATATGATATAACCTTCACTTGCGACGTTGAGGGTGGCATGACGCAGTCCTGAGATTGGGTTGGGCGTCTGTGGGTACCAGATGACCACGAGCGGTAACGTGATAGAATCACGGTGTCAAGGTTTGGCTCATGGCAGTGTTCATAAAACCATAGATTGGTTACCGGCGGGCGATGTAGCGCCAATAAAGACCATTTGGTGGCTGAAAAAGGTGAGATTACTATAAGAGACGATAATGCAACACTGGTAGCGAACCTGGGTAAACTGGGTTGAGTCATCTAGAAGGGACATATGAGGATTGCTAGATACAAAGAAAAGTGGCAACTTACGAGCTCTAATGCATTCCCAAATATCTACACCGCGACCTTTCGGATCCCATATTCCGCACTGAGAATACAAGCTCCAGTGCACATTGATCTCCCATATCCTTGTGGCATTTCCGATATATGGGGTTGCGCCAGGCATACTGTTAGGATGAGGTGACTGAATGATGATGGCTAGGAGGAGTTGTAGATAATGGGATAGAACGGAAGGCTCTATGTATTGAGAGGAGAGATTCTCTGAACGATGCCAGGGTAGGATCGGATCGTCAAATGGTTAGGACTGTTAGGGAGAGCAAGGAGAACATTTATATAGCTGACGGGAAGAAAGGCAATATATTATTGTGACGACCAAAGTAGTGACATCAACGCACATATAAAGAAAATTACGTTAGTGTGACAGCATCGGTTAATAAAAACATTATGTACGAAATTCTCAACTTTCTATATTTGCACATAATCATCTTACTAGCCTGTATGTGCACCGATCGCTTCCCGAAATAGCATATGTGGCCCACGATACTGGTATTCGACGTCACTCAAGGACTGAATCGTGCAGTGACTTCAAAGCAATAAAACATAAAATAAAATATACCAAAAAAGTGACCACCAATCCCAACTAAATGCGTTCGATTGTAACGTGTTTGATTTCTAGATCAACTTCACGATATCCAATGACGCTGAGATTTCAAAGCTCGGATTTGAATCACTCAACGTGACGACATGGCTGCCGAGCTGATGGCCTGATGGCAAGTGTTCTATCTTTTTCTTCCGCAATCTCACCTACTTCGGTGTATGACGCATTCATTCCACTAGCAAAAAATATCGTAAGGTCTGCCAGGGTCTACCCTTTGTTCAACCTCTCAATCCATTGCGGAGATAAGGTAAATGAACTTCAACACGATTGATGGGGTCATCCGAGTCGGCGACATTCCCTGAATTGCCGGCGGTTCCACGTCTACGGAATCAAAGCGTGAAACAATCGCGAAGAATGCGCAAAGCACATATCAAACAACCGGTACCGTCAACGGATAAATCGTGAAGAAAGCGCAAAGCAAATTTCGGTTAATATCAAACAACCGGTACCGTCATTAGAAAAAAACGTGAATCCATGTGAGTCGCAGAGGCTAACGATGCCTTCGAGAACCCTTTGTGAGAAAAATGACGAGAAGTTGTGAAGGAAAATGGCACATGCTCTACTGTCATGTTCATGACAAATCCCGACGCTGTCACTGATCCGGGGAACATTCCGACTATCTGTCCTTAAGTCGGATCTTAACTGGTTGAGATCGGGAAATTAGGGACAAACCAACGTATCTTCAATAAGCAGAAGCGTGTTTCACAACCGAGCTAGTAGAGCGAACTTACTAGGTTGGTGAGAAGAGCTTTGGCGACACCTCAGCGAATCGGGTTGTGAGCGCGTGAAAGCAGATTACCGGGTGCCCACGATCCCTCTTCGCTCACATGGCGTACCTCATATAAGCTATCACCCAGCAGACACGAAGCACGTTAAGAAGACGCTATCGTCCCTGACCCCAGTAATCTGTGAATCCTGCCCGGAGGTTGTGGACTGATTGTGTCTTTGCGGTAAGTGGGGTAAGGATAACCGTATCTGGCTGCGGTGTGCATGTACCGGATCCGTAGCAACCAGGAACAATACCATCACCTGCTTTGTTATCAGTCTTCAAGATATGACTCCATGGTCTGATAACGGATTCTGTCAACATGAGGACGGGAGGGCGATACTACCAGTCCTCTTGTGACAGGCTTGGGCTATCACCCACCAGGAAGCGTGGGGTAAGAAGATCTGATGCCTACAAGAGCGCCAATATCAGTACCCCAGTTCCTGAGTGACGCGATTCCGCTCTAGGAGTCCGTGTTGCAAAGTCCTCTGGGAACGGCTCATGACCGGGTGACCGGTGGCTGCAAATCGCCAAGAAGCAATTGTAAGTCACGATTGATTGCGCATGCATCAGGTATTCTATGCAGCAACCTAACACTGTCACGGTAAGAAGGGAAACGGCATCATCCGAGTCGGTCCCATTGTTCGTAGTCCGGACTATCATGGTTGGTTGGGACTTGCTGTGCACCCAAACTTTTATACCATTAAACTTCAGTAGAACATTAGATGAGTATTTTTTTTATCAAGTCGTTGACGACATACCCCGCACAAAGATGAAATGAGTGCAGTGAATAAAAATACGGACTAGCTTTGATAGCTTTCCGCATGGGCACCATGATGGGTAAAATCATATAGTAGCGACTCTTGAGGTTCAACTTGAACAGCTTCAACTTGAAACGGCCCTCCGGAACCTTGTATTGATCCCGTCGATTTAAATTGGTGTCTGCTAAAACTGCGTGCTATAACTAGTCGCGATGGACAAGTAGCCGAGCTAGGCTAGTAAATATTGGTGTTGGGAACATAGAGCGGCGAATAGTATGTTTCAACTTAGTACTAAGTTTAGGTGTTACAAGGGAAGTCACACGATGTCACGGTCTGGTGCACCGCGCATGTCTTTGCCACAAACGTTCACTTTGGTTTACACTTCATCCGTGGGCTGTGACACCGCCCTCGATCTACACCCAACTGTCCAAATTCTGAAATAACGTCATTGACTGCGAAGCTCTATCATATCGGTTTAATTTTGACATGCTCAGTCGACGGATGGTAAGTAGCGAGCAGAAGTCACTTGTAATTAACAACCCTGAACTTTGTTTCGCAAAGGCTTTTGGCTGGGGTAGCCTCATTCTAGCTGCCGGAGGCAGTTTTCTTTATGTAAAAACATCGCTCAGAGATCGCAGAAGGCGACAACCTTCTTTAACCGAACGTAGTCCTTGACCCGGAATGATACGGACTACCGCTCCTCGTGAGTTCGTTCCCCGCTGCCATGTCATGTTTTGATTCCTTTTTTTCGTTTGAGCCATGGCGCAGACAATTTCATGCAGTCTTTGAAATGTGGCATGCTCCCTTCGTTATCTTGGAGCACAAAGAGCCTATGATGCAATAGCGTAATTTTGGCAAATCGCGTGCGCTCCCGAACTTTACCAGTATGCTCCACTCATTCGCTGGTTAATTACCGCCGTGCTGCGGTGGTATCCGTCTGATAGACAATTACAGTGTTCATGCTCGCAAATGAACTTTGTGTACACTGAATTTAGATTCGTCCAGATTCCGATATGGGGTGCCTTCCAAGATTCTGTTCTAGTCTCTAGTACGTATACTTGTTATGCATCTGAGTTGTGAGGGTAGCGTGGCCCGGGAGCGTGGCCAGACCATCATGATATTGCAAAATCCATTACCCAGTTTAGAGTTAGAGCCTACTATTCGCATCTTCGTGATCCGATGCTACAAGCCAAAACCTGCCACTTGAGGCTTGAAGGAGCCAAAATTGTCACGGCGAACTTCATCTATGTTACTAAAATAATTTATAGGTCTGGATCTTTCGAGGTACATTTGTCGTAGGTGGCGTTGCACTATTTTTGCCAATTCCCACTGACATCATAGAACGAGGATTCCGCACCACAGGGAGTGCTATACCCACCCGCGTATCTTTTATCCCGAATGTCGACTTGCTTCTGAACGTCATATTTCTCGTCAACAGAAGCATGGAGGTATACTAGTAGGTGCCACTGCAGTGTCTTCCCGACCTTACATATTCGTCGAAAGACTCCAGTTGAACAACGTATACGCCCAAGCGTCCGAGGGGGGCGGCAATGGACGAACTTGCGAATTCACCAGTGGGCTAGCATGAGCGACGAGAAAGACACCTAACGCTGGAGGGCAAAGGTTGCGAGAAGGACTTTGGCACGATATAATGCTACAGTCAACACTGACAATGTTCCTTCAAAATCCAAGTCATTCCTCGGTTTCCTGCTTTACAGTACTCTGGATGTTAATGTTCATTTTCAACCTAAAGATACTTACTGATACTTGATGTCCCTTCCATTAGTCGTGTTCTTGAGATCAAACCTGAACCAGTCACGATCAAACATAGCTAAGATTCTTACAGCGGACATGATTCCCTAGAGTGTGCTCAACACTTTTCAACCATATATGATACAACAATATTTGTTTCGTGTCTTTGCACTGAAACATATCTATGACAACGAAAAAGAGATAAAATAAGTCCAACAAACTTACAATCAAAATCCCTCTGAATCAGAACAATATGAGCTGGACGACCTCGACAAGCCTCTCGAGTTCCCGGATTCACGTGTGCCTGCTGGGAGAAGATGAGGTACCTTTCAAGACATCAGTCAGCGTGGCTCGTTCTCCTCTTGCCGCCTGTCAGTAAGTCGCGCATGGGTACGTTCTGTTCTTGCTCGTTTCGTCAAGGACAACGCACTCGAAGCCATCACCGATGAAGTGATTTTGAAGGCTATTCTTGAATTCCTGTCGACGAGTTTCGTCACGTTTAATAGCGAGCTTTTGTAGAACTCTTCGCGCCAGGCTAGCTTCTTTGAGATTGCGAGAGAGCGCAGAAGGACATATCGTGCTCAAATGCAAGCCATGTGCATATTTCATCAAGGTACAAGTCCGAATTCTCTCCAAAAAGACCTTGAATGACTTTCAAGAGTGTCCGTGTAATGCGTCTAATGAGTGGTGAAGGAGGTTTCTCGACGGTGCCGTGTTCTTCGAATATCGGTTGCAAGTGAAAATAGCTTCTCCGCGAGCTTCACGGATATTTTCCTACTCTTGTCCGTGATCGATTGATCCCACAGACAAAGTGCGCATCCTTTTAGGTCTTGCTGATCTGCCGGTTGATCATGGTTGTGAAACTGACAAGACAGATGAGATTTCTAGTTGGCGTTCAAGTGGAAGGGCATGACTTCCTTTTTGGTCAGACCCACAAATTTTGGCTTGTATCATTACTTCCTCAAACTGCCTTTTGCTTTAAGCCTGCTCGTCGTTCTGAGCACTCATGAAGGCAAATTACAAGGTGAGACGTTGTACCAATCGGCAGAAACAGAAGTTCATCATTCGTTTAGTTCTCCAACATTTGTGGGACAGTTTACCAGCAGGGCAACATTATTTTTACTCCCGATGGCAACACACTGCTGAGTCCTGTCGGGAATCGAGTATCAGTATTTGATTTGGTGAAGTAAGTGCATCATGTAGCATGCATATGAGGGATGCTGAAGGATGACGCTCTTCCTAAGCAATAAATCCCGAACTCTGCCAGTCGAGAATCGTAAAAATATTGCTGCAATTGCCCTCAGTCCAGATGGGAACGTTCTGGTATCTGTCGATGAAGGTTCGTTGGGGTACTTGCAGATCTTGCGAATACTGAACATTTCGCATAGATGGCAGAGCGTTGCTAGTAAATTTCAAAAGAGGCGTGGTATTGCATCATTTCAACTTCCAAAAACCGGTTCAGGATATACAATTTTCACATGATGGAAAGTGAGTTCTGCATTTTTTTTCGTGCGATCGATGGTTCTCATCTTCTGATCACCCCTTAGGTTCATTGCAGTGACCCATGATTCCCATGTGCAAGTTTGGCGTACGCCAAATCACCTAGTCCGAGAGTTCGCACCATTCGTACTTCACCGCACATACACGGGGCATCATGCCGACGTATCCAGTATTCGATGGTCACCGGATTCAACGTGAGCTCATTTAGTTATTGTTGTTGACCGCTAAGCTAAGTGAAATTAGCTGCTTCATAACGACATCGCGCGACATGACTGCCCGATTATTTACCCTCGATCCCTTGGAAGGGTTTCGACCAAAAACGTTTGCTGGTCATAAGGATGCTGTTGTTGGAGCATACTTCTCTGCCGATGGCAAATTCGTAAGTGAAACTAGTCTTTCATCTTGCCTTTGACTGACATATGCTCAGATATACACTGTCAGCCGTGATGGTGCTGTGTTCACATGGACAGCAAAAGACGAGCCAGACGACGCTGAGGCGCCACAGCTTGTTTCTTCAGCTCTCGCACATTCAATTCCTCGGACAAGGTGGGGTGTACATGACCGCCACTATTTTAATCTCCCACACACGAAAGTTGTCTGTACCACCTTCCACCCATCTTCCAACCTCCTAGTCGTTGGATTTTCCAGTGGAGTGTTTGGGCTTTGGGAGCTTCCGTCATTCACAAATATCCACACTCTGAGCATCTCGCAGGAGAAGATATCATCTGTTGCAATATCTCCAACCGGAGAGTGGCTTGCCTTTGGCGCACGTAGGCTTGGTCAGCTCCTTGTCTGGGAATGGCAATCAGAGTCCTACATCCTCAAACAACAGGGACATTATTTTGATATGAACACGCTAGCTTACGCTCCAGATGGGCAGACCATTGCCACAGGGGGTGATGATGGCAAGCTTAAGGTCTGGTCCGTACAAAACGGCTTCTGCTTCGTAACCTTCTCAGAGCACACTGCACCCATAATGGGCATCACTTTCGCGAAGCACGGCTCTGTTCTCTTCTCCGCATCTCTTGATGGTACCGTTCGTGCATTCGACCTAGTTCGGTACCGCAATTTCCGAACTTTTACCTCCCCTTCTCCTGTTCAATTCTCTTCCATAGCAGTCGACCCATCAGGAGAAGTTGTTGCTGCAGGTTCAACAGATACATTCGAAGTCTTTATGTGGTCAGTCCAGACCGGGAAGCTCCTCGACATCCTCGCCGGCCATGAAGCACCCGTATCTACGCTTGCCTTCTCACCAACGGGTGCCAATCAACTAGCGAGTGGTTCTTGGGATCGCACTATTCGCATTTGGAGCATTTTTGGCAGATCACGCGCTGTGGAACCTCTTACGCTCTCCTCCGATGTTCTCTCGATTGCATTTCGACCGGATGGCGTGGAGCTAGGAGCGTCTACGCTTGATGGCCAGATCACATTCTTTGATGTGCGATCAGGAAAGCAGTCAAATGTCATTGATGGCCGCAAAGATGTTTCTGGAGGACGAAAAGCAGACGATCGAGTCGCGGCTGCCAATAGTTCCTCCACGAAGGCATTCACGAGCCTTGCATATACTGCAGATGGGTCGTGTGTGCTTGCCGGTGGAAATAGCAAGTACGTTTGTCTATATGACGTACGTGAAGGAGAGGGAGTGCTCGTGAAGAAGTTCCAGATTTCAGAAAACCTCTCGTTAGATGGCACTCAGGAGTTTCTAGATAGTCGCAAGGTCAACGATGCGGGTATCAACATCGATCTAATTGATGACCGCGGCAATGCCAGTGACCTAGAAGATAGGATGGATACTACTCTACCAGGCGCATCGAGAGGAGCGGGCGACATGTCCGTGCGAAGGTACCGACAAGAAGCACGCACTAAATGCGTGCGCTTCTCACCAACAGGGCGTGCTTGGGCAGCCGCAAGCACCGAAGGCCTCTTGATCTACTCTCTAGACGACACTGTTATGTTTGACCCTTTCGACCTCACAATAGATCTCACTCCGCAAGCTGTACTCAATATCCTTGCGGAGGGCGAGTACCTGAAGGCGCTTGTTCTTGCATTCCGCTTGAATGAAAAACCCATTATACAACAAGTTTACGAGCGCATTCCACGCAGTGATATACGCCTTGTTGCACGTCAGATGCCTAATATTTATATCCCTGCACTCCTTCGATTCACATCGGAACATCTGGAGAAGAGTCCTCATCTCGAATTCGACCTTATTTGGGTGCAGGCTGTGATTACGGCACATGGTCGCTTCCTGAGGGATCACAGCGGTGAATATGCACCTGTATTGCGGGCGGCCCAGAAGGCATTAGGTGACGTAGAGGGGTCAATATCAAGGCTGTACGTCTCTACCTACATCCATAGGCGTTTGCGTCTCATTGATTGTTGTCCAGATGCGACGAAAATACGTCAACATTGCGGTACCTCATTGATCAGTCGGTGGTCAAACATGGATTAGATACTGACATGTCATCAAACGCTTTGAATGATTGACTACTCAGTGAGTTATGACTTTTAAACATTAGGCTTGTCGTCTTACTAACGGTAGTACCCAGCAATAGGTGTCGTATAGAAACATGTTACATATCAAATAAAAGTAGATTAGACAGGTGCAAATTAATGGACTTTCATTGTACAAGGGGGACCAGTAAAACATTCCTCATTCCCATGACATCCTGACTACTTCTTGACAGGTATTTCTAAGCGACGGTAACAATGCTAAGAATGCAATTTCCGGAAAGTAGTCATAACACTCACTGTCACTGTGCCTCTGATCCACACCCCGATAGCCCCAATAATACGCAAGCCCTGTTCCAGCAATGAGAGCTGCGGTCATGATGAACTGCGTGATCCAGATGATGAGCGGTCGCAGTCAGTACTAATCCAATAAGCGCACAAATCTGTTCCTTGGCGGCTGATTATGCCAGTATTTCTGGGACATATCTCCCTGCTGGCGGAAATTAGGGGTCGGATGCATCTTGGAACTGTTTCTTTGCTGGGATGGTGGTGGTTGTTGTCGAAAGAGATCATAGGAGAAGATGACTTGAGTATGATGTCACCTAGTTGGTGATGTTTACGTCTCTGGACGGGTAATATCCCTAATCGACGGATGATACTTACTTTCACTGGCAGGCTCTGCGGGAATCGTGTTAAATGGTCATCGAGATGTTGCCGCTTTCCATTCTGATTGCGTCCCACCCATGTGTGTGTGTTTTTGTCAGGTTTGTTTTACAGATTTCTCGACAATGACTACTACGCCCAGCACTTCGAAGTTCCATGTTCCATCACTTGCCTTGAACTGATGGGGCTAATTCTAGTTTATGTAAATCTCCTACTATCGGATCCGACCAGTCACATGTAGGGTTGCATATTGATTCATGCATCCAGAGCATCTGGCGATATGCCCTACCTTCTCTGAGCCAGACGCCTCGTTCTGTGAATGCTTGCTATACCACACTCGAATCGTCAGAGGCGCAGCACGTACGGATGTTGAAGACATGCTTGTTTTTCAATATCGCTGGTTAAGAATTCTTTTTCTCGCCTCACATTCACAGAGGCTACATTTGCGGACCATGCCTAACCTTATGCGTGCTATGTGCCGCGGCGGACAGCACATTCTGCCATCACGGGCACCACATGCGCTTCTGAATCGCGTAAGCCACAGCCTGAGCTCAACGCTGATACTGTAATTGCAACTCGCCGCCTCGTGACTCGTATCAATCATCGTGGCCACTACTCTGGAACTTTCAAAGAACTATCATCATTCCTCGTTTTCGCCTGCCAAGAATGTTTGTCGGTAAATTTACCTTATCCTGTCACTTTCACTTCCATTGCGGAAGGAGTCGAGCGTCATTTCTCGATTAAGAGCATGTTTCTCAGCAGTAGCTACATACCCTGCCCTGGCACTTCCAAATGGCTTTTATAAACATTCCTCACTTTCGCTCGCGGGGAATGTTTGTCCATCGCAGGGCAGGATCATTACTCGACTTCTCAGCGCTCACCATTGACTATACATAGCGCTTCTATTGCAAAAGAAGTTTCGAAATTTACAAAGCATTCGTCTAAATCTTACTGGCGGGGAATATTTAGCACATTGTCAGGACTTTCGAGAGATCAGTTGATTTCCCGTATCAATGACCATGTTCCATCACTTGCCTCGAATGTTTATTGACTGTCCGAAGTCCGTTAAATCTATGCGGTAGATTCCTTCTCTGTGGAACCGTCCTTTGATTTTGTATCATCGTCGCAGTTCGCCATCTTTTCCTCATACCCAGATACATCTATTTCCTCAAATATGTCAGCAGCTCCAGGAACCGGAAACATCCTGCTCAATATATAGAACACGATACTCGAAGTGCCAAATCCTGTGAAGAACGACAAGTCGAATATGTGAGTCGCAGCAGCTGGTACGGGTATTCCAACTGTGGAACTATGAGTACCGCAAGCAAAACACAAACTAAAAGGACGTACTATTCCCAGCGAAACCCACTACATTAATGGCGATGCCTGCCACGTATGCTGCGTACGCTCTTTAAACTCAAGTGAGCGATGAAGAGCCAACATTTCTAGTCTTACACAGACCTGGGGTTGAAACCATAATTGTACCAATACCAACTTCCTTTGCGGGTGACGTAGAAGTCGGCGACGTTATAATGGCCCTTGCGCACAAACCAGTATTCAGTGGCCTAGAGGCATATTAAGTCTAAAATACAATACAATACAGATCAAGGTGCACTCACCATAACTCCCGCGATCGCGCTCAGGAAGACCGAGTACGCAGACATATAGGAGGAAAAACGGCTGCTGCTTGCTACCAGATTCCAGGGACACATGACAAGTCCGACAATGGCTGATATATACCCGCCGCGTCTGACATTCTGTGATGAAAATAAGTACTTCCTGGAATCAATGCACGAAGTAAAGGATTTACGATGAAACGTGGACATAGCGCCGTCAGATCACAACCCGCACTGACTGTGTTAGCGCTGATGTTCCCTCTAGAAATGGGCAGGGTACAAAGCGTGAGCTATAACAGCGACTCGTGCGTCTATTACATACCCTATCTGAAATCCATCAGTATTAGATCTTCAAGAAAGTCGATATGATGCCTACCTGTGCTATAATGAGAGAGAAGGCGATGAACCAGACCTAACGACCTTCTCGTCAGTGAAAAACAACCTTGCATCGTTCATACTCACACCAAATCGAGTGGCAGGGGATGGGTCATCGTCCAAGAACATTCCCAGCAAATCCACGGGTGACCAAACTACTTCCCCGTAGATTGTCTGTGACGATGAGCTGACGATCACACCAAAGAGGCAGACTGAACCATAAGAGAGGGGGATGGACCAGAGCTGGGAAATGATCGGTGCGGATGGAGTCTTCGCCCGTGACCCAAAATCCGGCGCGTTCCTGCAAATATGGTAAGATTATTGAGATAATACATAAAAGCATAGCAGGCATACGTCGTCAATGTTATGAGGTTACTGACGCATATACCAATATTGCTGATCATGGCCCATGCCAGTTCGGAGCCATGGATGGTTGCCGGCTGTTTGACGATCGGTCCAACACCTTTTGCCTTGATGATGCACCAAATCATAAAGATGACACAGGCAATGGGTGAGACGATCGTCTTGAACGTGAAGAAATGACGACTGTTGCGAGCTCATCAGTAATCCGTCCGAATGAACTTCTCTGAACGTACATTGTGTGCACGGGAGGCCATATGAAGGGCAAAGATATAACCCAAAAAATGAGGAAGCACATGAAATCCCTGGTGTTAGTGCCAGAGGACAAGGGCATGGAATTTGCTTCGTCGTATAAGGTATCAGATCAGATCACGAAGGACCAACTCATCAATAAACTCACGGATATTATTAACACTTGGCCAGATTGTACGGAGCATCACTAAGACGCATGAACCGCCGATACTCGATTGCACTCCGTACCAGATACTGCAATGCAGTGAGTACAGCACAGCGCAGAAGACATCGTACCTACCATGCTATCGTCACTCTATTGAATACACACCACAAGCTTCCAAATATTCCGAAGCTGGCACGGTTGACGACAGGGAAGGTGACATGAAATACAGCACCCGGTCGGCCCAACAGGACGACAAACGGCGTCATCACACCGTAACCAATCCAGACAGTCAGCCAGGCTTGCCACCACGACATGCCCATGACGATCATGCTAGAGGTTATCATCCAACTATCGGAGAACCTGTATGAGTTTATACTACAAGCTGAAGATTTGCAACTAACCTTCCGACATTGATCTGCGAGTAGAGCTTCATAAGGGTTCTGTCATTGTAACGATTCACTACTCACTGACGTGCTCGCCCAGCTGGCCGACAAGCGTGTTAGTTGTGCAGTCAATCCAACAAATTGCAACCCTTACAAAGCGACATAACTGAAAGCAGTCCATGTTCTTTCCTCTATCGGAACTGGCAGTAGATCGTCGCTCTGAGGACCCATACAGTAAGCTTAAACTGCTGAACCTAGTAATCAGCACTTGAAACTCACCGAAACAAAATGCAGGTCGGAGGGAGCACGCTCTTCTCGAGTATGGGGAACCTCGAGCGCTTTGAGCAATTGTCTTGCAAAGTCCATCAGCTGCGATAAGTCGTAGACTCTGGGCACATTGAAAAGTGCAAAGTACACGTATTTAACACAATGCTCTTATCTTTCCTGAAGTATCGAACTGAATGAATGTATTTTCTGTACAGGGGTAAAACGTATGCCTTCTACAGCGGTCGCTAATAGAAGCTTGAGAACAAGGTCATATCATGGCGTGCCTAATGTCAGAGGATCAGCATTTCGCAGTGGCAAATGACTCATGAGGTAACACCTGACCTTCCCAATATGTATAGTTGTGGCTCACCAACTATGTTTCCCCCGACACCATCAATGGATGCCCCAAATACACGACGTTATCTACCTACGAGGCTCGGGGAAGTACGTTCCGTTCCGTCCTATCAGTTATCCGGCAACTCCTACAGACTATTCCAACGTGTTTGTCACTGGTCGCGGAAATTTCCAGCGATTGTCTGATGGAAACGGTAGTCAAGTTTTTTTTACTGACTATGGAATACACTGACATGTTATTGACTTTGTCGGTGGTCAACACATTTCTATAGCATGACGGGCCCGCAGCAGATAACAATGCATAATCGTATGAGAGACATGAAAAACAGCGGGTTGCAGCCCATTCTCCGTGACAGTTGAATGTCATTCGTCAACAAGCACGCAGACCGACACATTCACGAGACAGCCAAACGAAATCCTTCAGGCGCACGCTCATTTATCCACGGGAGTCCACCGCTGCCTGTCGAGGGGCTGTCCCGGGTTGTTCTTGAGGGTGACCTACAACGAGCGTCAGGAACAGTATGGTACCACGGTCAACGGGCCACATCACCGATTCATCATCTTCAAGATGCAAAGTATAGTAGCTGTGATCATCCTTAGACACATGGGGGACTTGGAATCTGCACATCATTGTTAATTGATAGGCCTGGTCTGAATCATGCATGATACGCACACGACACTGGCGCCTATGAAGACCACTCTCCACCAGTGCTCAATGTCGCTCATGAGGACTTGCATGCTCGACTGTGAATTTGTGCAAAGCGGTGAGATTGGCATCGCAACCGCTTCTTGCAAACACTGACGTTCCATGACAAGTAATCTCCAGCATCCTCGGCCTGGACCGACCACAGACGTGTATCTGTTTCTTGGACATATTTATACTTCGCAATCCACTATTGATGTCACTTGTCAGTACCAGGGTCGGAACTTCATCTATGACATCCACTGACCCTCTGATTGTGGCCTTTGACCTTCACATGCACGCCGTCTCTTGGAATCCACAATGAATAGTTAGGGTCATACACATTTACAAGGACACCTTTGATGGGCATGATGATTGAGATTTGTTGTTGGGAGGCAAGGAGGAAAATATGAGAAGTGAGTTGGTCTTCAAACTTGCAATTGTAACATCATTTATATGCGCATCCCTCAGGGTACTAGTACAGACTCGGCAACGACATCCTGCCTTGCTGAGCACCACACATGCTCCTGAATTGTCTCGTGACTCGGGTCGGTTATTGTGACCACCACTATAGAATTCTCAAGGAACGATCGGTCATTCCTCGTTTTCGCCTCCCAAGAATGTTTGTCAATGAATCTGTCACTTCATTACCAAAGGAGTTGAGCACCATTTCTCAATTAAGGGCATATTTTGATTGGTTGCTTGGCAGTGACTACATACCACGCCCTAGCACTTCCATACTCGCTTTCCAGGAATATTCTTCAATAGCGTTACGATGAGCGTTTTCCTAGATCAGTCGCTTTTCCAGCTTAGCAACTCCCATGGCAGTGAATTGCAAATGGGTTTGCAAACATTCAGCAAACATTCCTCAATTTCGCTCGCGGGGAATGTTTGTTGATTGCGGGGCAAGGTTATTACTCGACTTCTCGGTATTGACTACATACATAACGCTTCCATTACAAAAAAATCATCTATATCTTGCTTGCGGAGAATGTTTGTCAATCGCAGCACATTGTCAGGACTTTCGAGAGACCAGGTAATTTCCCATATCCCCGGGAAGTACAGCTCTAGTGTCAGCTTTTCAGTTCAAGGAGCGTCTTTAGTTGTGTATGGCTGGGTTCTTCTTGGAGTCCAACTGCCTTGAATCCAGCGTGGCACATGCACCCTTTTGTCTGATAATTCAGCTCCAATGGCAATACTACCCTCTTCTGCCGCTCGCTGACTCTGGCAATATACAATAGTCAACAGTGGGAGCAGCTATTATGAATGCGGTGGATCAAGTCATTAAGTTGGTACTCGAGTTTGGCACTAAGTGCTTGAACCGAAAAGTACTAGTGCTGTACTTGCATTGATACGGGAAATCAACTGATTTTAACAAGCTCAATGATATTCCCCGCAAGTAATAAGATTTAGACGAATGCTTTGTAAATTTCGAAGCTTCTTTTGCAATAGAAGCGCTATATAGTCAACGATGAGCGCTGGCACTGAGCAGTTGAGTAATAATCCTGCCCTACCATCGACAAACATTCCCTGCGAGCGAAATTAAAGCATGTTTATGAAAGCCATTTGGAAGTGCCAGGGCAGGGTATTTAGTTACTGCTGAGAAACATGCCCTTGATCGAGAAATGATGCTCGACTCCTTCCGCAATGGAAGTGAAAGTGACAGGATGAGGTAAATTCATCAACAAACATTCTTGGGAGGCGAAAACGAGGAATGATGATAGTTCCTTGAAAGTTCCAGAGTAGTGGCCATGATAGTTGATACGAGTCACGAGGCGGCGAGTTGCAATTATAGTATCAGCGTTGAGCTCAGGCTGCGGCTTACGCGATTCAGGAGCGCATGTGGTACCCGTGATGGCAGAATGCCGTCGCCGAGTCTGTACCCTGAGGACGCATATAAATGATGTCACAATCGCAGAGTTGAAGACCAACTCACTTCTCGTATTCTCTTCCTTGCCTCCCCAACAATAAATTCAAATTTCAATTATCATGTCTATCGATGGTGTCCTTGTGAATGTGCGTGACCCTGACTTCGTGTTGGGGACGCACAGAGACGGTGTGCACACGAAGGTCGAAGGCCAGGCCTTTAACCAGACTGACAATCAGAGGGTCAGTAGATAGCCAGAGATGAAGTTCCGACCCTGGCGCTGAGGAGTGATATCAATAGTGGACCTCGAAATACAAATATGTCAAAGAAACAGACACGCATTTGTGGTCGGTCCAGAACAAGGATACTGGAGATTACTTGTCATGGAATGTCAGTGTCTGCAAGAAGCGGTTCCGATGCCAATCTCACCTCTTTGCACAAATTTGCAGTCGAGCAAGCAAGTCATCATGAGCGACACTGAGCACTGGTGGAAATTGGTCTTCGTAGGCGGCAATGTCGTGTGCGTATTATGCGATTTAGACCATGCCCATCAACTGACGATGAGGTGCAGATTCCAAATCCCGCATGACCCCAAGGATGATCAAAGCATCTATACTTTGGAACTTGAAGATAATGAATCGGTGATGTGGCCCATCGACTGTGGTACCATATTGTTCCTGACGTTTGTTGCAGGTCACCCTCAAGGACCAGCAGGAGCCTCCCATCAAAAGGCAGCTGTGGATGATCGAGAATAAATGAGCATGCACCTGAAGGATTTCCTTTAGCTGTCTCGTGAGTATGTTAGTCTATGCGCTTGTTGCAATTGGGATGGAGATTAGGCTGCAGCCCGCTGTTTTTCATGTTTTTCATACAAATATACATTGCTGTCCGCCGCGGCACATAGCACGCATATGGTTGGGCATGGTCCGCAAATGTAGCCTCCCTGAATGTGAAGGCAAGAAAAAAAATTCTTAACCAGCAACATTGAAAAAAATGCATGTCTTCAATATCCGTATCTGCTGCGCCTCTGATGATTCGAGTGTGGTATAGCGAACATTCACAGAACAAGGCAGAGAAGGTACAGCATATCGCCAGATGCTCTGGATGCATGAATCAATATGCAACCCTCAGGCTACGTGTGACTGATAATATGAGAACGGGGATACTCCTCCGCAATTTACGATGATGGCATGATGCTAGTATATCGCATTCTGCGAATGTTGTCTTGCGCATAGAAAGGTCAATTGAGGAAGGGGAGGGTGACGAGGAATGATGGCAGCACCCGTCATGTATCTCAACATTTAATATTCTCGGTAGGGCATGTATGTGGACGTTTTTTGGCTGCTTTAAATTATGATGATGGCCGGATTTGATAGGATATATACATAAACCAGAATTGGCCGCATCACTCGATAGGCATCCAAGGGAAGTGATGGAATATGGAAGTGCTGGGTGTAGTAGTGATTGCCGAGAGATTTTGACAACTACATGATGAACGTTAAGAACACCTGCCAGTGTGTGGTATACTCTACCGAAGGAGTTTTATTATGTAATCATTTTTGGACTACCAGGTCCATGTTTCATCACTTGGCCCCTTGGATGTTTATTGACTGTCCGAAGTCCGTTACTAAAATCTATGCGGTAGATAACTCCTTCTCTGTGGAATCGTCCTTTGATTTTGTATCTTCATCGCAGCTCGCCATCTTTTCCTCATACCCAGATACATCTATTTCCTCAAATATGTCAGCAGCTCCAGGAACCGGAAACACCCTGCTCAATAGATAGTACACAATACTTGCAGTGCCAAATCCTGTGAAGAACGACAAGTCGAATATGTGAGTCGCAGCAGCTGGTACGGGTGTTCCAGCTGTGGAACTATGAGTACCGCAAGTAAAATACAAACTAAAGGGACGTACTATTCCCAGCGAAACCCACTACATTGATGGCGATGCCTGCCACGTATGCTGCGTACGCTCTTTAAACTCAAGTGAGCGATGAAGAGCCAACATTTTTAGTCTTCCACAGACCTGGGGTTGAAACCATAATTGTACCAGTACCAACTTCCTTTGCGGGTGACGTAGAAGTCGGCGACGTTATAATGGCCCTTGCGCACAAACCAGTATTCAGTGGCCTAGATGTATATTACGTCAAAAATGAAATACAATCCAGATCCAGGTGCACTCACCATAACTCCCGCGATCGCGCTCAGGAAGACCGAGTACGCAGATATATAGGAGGAAAAACGGCTGCTGCTTGATACCAGGTTCCAGGGACACATGACAAGTCCGACAATTGCTGATATATACCCGCCCCGTCTGATATTCTATGATGAAAATAAGTACTTCCTGAAATCAATGCATGAAGTAAAGGATTTACGATGAAACGTGGAAATAGCGCCGTCAGATCACAACCCGCACTGACCGAGTTAGCGCAGATGTTCGTTCTGGAAATGGGCAGGGCTCAAAGCATGAGCTATGACAACGACTCGTGCGTCCATTACATACCCTATCTGAGATCCATCAGTATTAGATCTTCAAGAAAGTCGATATGATGCCTACCTGGGCTATAATGAGAGAGAAGGCGATGAACCAGACCTAACGACCTTCTCGTCAGTGCAAAAAACCCTTGCATCGTTCATACTCACACCAAATCGAGTGGCAGGGGATGGGTCGTCGTCCAAGAACATTCCCAGCAAATCCACTGGTGACCAAATTACTTCCCCGTAGATTGTCTGTGACGATGAGCTGACGATCACACCAAAGAGACAGACTAAACCATAAGAGAGGGGGATGGACAAGAGCTGGGACATGACCGGTGCGGATGGAGTCTTCGCCCGTGACCCAAAATCCGGCGCATTTCTGCAAATATGGTAAGATTATTGAGATAACACATGAAAGCATAGCAGGCATACGTAGTCAATGTGATGAGGTTACTGAGGCATATACCAACACTACTGATCATGGCCCATGCCAGTTCGGAGCCATGGATGGTTGCCGGCTGTTTGACGATCGGTCCAACACCTTTTGCCTTGACGATGCACCAAATCATAAAGATGACACAGGCAATGGGTGAGACGATCGTCTTGAACGTGAAGAAATGACGACTGTTGCGAGCTCATCAGTAATCCGTCCGAATGAACTTCTTTGAACGTACATTGTGTGCACGGGAGGCCATATGAAGGGCAAAGATATAACCCAAAAAATGAGGAAGCACATGAAATCCCTGGTGTTAGTGCCAGAGGACAAGGGCATGGAATTTGCTTCGTCGCATAAGATATATCAGATCACGAAGGACTGGCAACTCGTCAATAAACTCACGGATATTATTAACACTTGGCCAGATTGCACGGAGCATCACTAAGACGCATGAACCGCCGATACTCGATTGCACTCCGTACCAGATACTGCAATGCAGTGAGTACAGCATGGCGCAAAAGACATCGTACCTACCATGCCATCGCCGCTCTATTGAATACACACCACAAGCTTCCAAATATTCCGAAGCTGGCACGGTTGACGACAGGGAAGGTGACATGAAATACAGCACCCGGTCGGCCCAACAGGACGACAAACGGCGTCATCACACCATAACCAATCCAGATAGTCAGCCAGGCTTGCCACCACGACATGCCCATGACGATCATGCTAGAGGTTATCATCCAACTATCGGAGAACCTTCATGAGGTTATACTACAAGCTGAAGATTTGCAACTCACGTTCCAACATTGATCTGCGAGTAGAGCTTCATAAGCGTTCTGTGTCATTGTGATGATCCACTACTCACTGACGTGCTCGTCCAGCTGGTCGACAAGCGTGTTAGTTGTGCAGTCAATCTAACAAATTGCAGCCCTCACAAAGCGACATAACTGAATGGAGTCCATGTTCTTTCCTCTATTGGAACTGGCAGTAGATCGTCGCTCTGAGGGACCATGCAGTAAGCCCAACTGTGAAACCTAGTAATCAGAACTTGAAACTCACCGAAACAAATTGCAGGTCGGAGGGAGCACGCTCTTCTCGAGTATGGGGAACCTCGAGCGCTTTGAGCAATTGTCTTGCAAAGTCCATCAGTTGCGATAGGTCGTAGACTCTGAGCACAAAAGTGCAAAGCACACGTATTTAACACAATCCTCTTATCTTCCCTGAAGTGTCAAACTGACTGAATGAATCTTCTGTGCAGGGTAAAACGTATGTCTTCTACAGTGGTTGCTAATAGAAGCTTGAGAACAAGGTGGTAGATTCTCATATCATGGCGTACCTACTAATGTCAGAGAATCAGCATCTCGCAGTGGCAAATGAGGTAAACCAACGAGTATCACCGTGTCACGCGCACGACGGTGACGTGAAGGTGGAGAATGCCGCTTCACGGCACCTCCCAGAGAAAAAAAAATGTGATGGATTTTGAAGCGCTTCATACTGGCCAAGAAAGCATTAGCCGGGATCCCAAAAATATTGCAGCAGTAATTGCTAGGGTGGAATAAGCGAACGAAGACGATAGGGCCAACTACTACTGGCTATGGGTCTGCGGCTCCTGGGCCTTAAAGTGGGGATGGGTCATTTTGTGACTCATGCCAAGGGGAAGACTCGAGAGTCGACTCAGTCGAGACATCCAAATTTTCCTAGGGAATGCAATCCACCTTAAGCACTCTGGTTGAAGTGAGATAGAGGTACTTACCTCTCGTCGTGAACGTCGAGGCAAGTCGTGCCCGTCCGGCCCGCGGGACGTACTTACAGTGATCAACCGTAGAGTCTTCTATCCTGAACAGTACTCGGATGCTGGTCGGTAGCTCTTAATCGAGATTCAAGGACTTATCTTTTGTACACGCGCAAGCAATTTGTCGATAACGTTGTCCTGGGCAAAACCGATAGAAGAACTTCAGACATTCGGAATATTGGGACTCTACTGTGACTCACTAGGACCCTTTATTATTAATAGCAGATATCTTGGTCCAATGCTTGATTACTTGCTAGAGCACGAGCACCGGTAATCTCTTTCTACGGGTCTGCATCGGGAATTCGAAAGAATGCGTCAACTCGTCAAACTTGGGGAAGGAGTTGTATTGTCACAGTACCGGTAATACCAACAATGTCTGACACAGAACATGGCGCCAGACAAAGTCAAAACTACATAAACATACCCAACCCCAAACCCCCACACCACACCACACCAACCACACCTCACCCACCATCCCAAAACCACCACCCACACCATTCACCAGCAGCAAAAAAACTCGACTCCCGATCGGAGTACGTACGTAGGGACCAGACTAGGAGCGTAGTATAACCTAATATGATATATATAATCGGACGCGTAAAAACAGACGTGAGAAAAAAGAACGGAGCGCAAGATGTGACGGGTGCTAGAGCAGTGAGATGGATGGACAGGCGATGTGGAACAAAGGGAGACACGACCCCTGGAAATACGAGATGTCGAGATGACGGCTGACGGTAAAAAATGAGAATGATGTCCGAGCGGTGATGGTCTCCTCCCCCTCCCTCCTACACGAAACATAAAAGAACGAGCTCATCGTGTAGGAGTACCGTTGCGGTACGCTGCCTGGTTGGTATAACCACCCCGCTGAGCTGGCTGCCCTTGTGACGGTGCAGGCGCTGCGCCGTTCTGGCGGCCGTTGCTTGAAGTTTGCTGAGAAGGTGCCTGCTGTCGCTGCGGCTGAGATGATTGGGGCTGAGGCTGGGGCTGGGGTTGGGACTTCTGCGGGGCAGGCTCCTCAGCAGCGCTGGGTGCGACATAAAGGCCCTTGTCGATAGACTGGGGAATTGGCTGAATCTCAGTGCCAAGCTCCTGCTCAATACGATATAGATTGAAACGGTCCTCATAAGTGACCAGGTTAATAGCAAGACCCAAGTGCCCGAACCGACCGGAACGACCAATGCGGTGGAGGTACGTCTCCGAGTTCTTGGGGAAGTCAAAGTTGATTACGACGTTGACTGCCTGGATATCAATTCCTCGGGTCAATAAGTCTGAGCAGACGAGGTTGCGGCAGACTCCATTGCGGAAGTCATGGAACACGCGATTACGATGTGACTGAAGCATCTTTGCATGCGAATAGAAACATGAATAGCCGAGGTCTGTTACTTTCTTTGCGAGTAGCTCGACGCGATTGGTAGAGTTACAGAATATAATGGATTGGTTGATTTGCAACTGGAGATGGATGGTCAGTAAGGAAAGGGGGTTGGTGTACGGGAACTTACTTTGGAGAAAAGGGTGTTCAAACAGTGGACCTTCTGTCGCTCCTCGACATAAGCGTAATACTGCGTAACACCACGTAAAGTGAGCTCCTCCATAAGATTGATCTCATAAGGGGTTCTCATGCGTTTGTCCTATACAAAAGAAACATGTCAAACACTAGTAGCAAAGGCAATGCTCTGGACGAGCCTACCTTGAAATCCTTCACCATCATAGGGAAGGTTGCACTGAAAAGCATGACCTGACGATCCGTAGGAAGGAAAGAGAGTAATTGTTCCATGACAGGAGTGAACTCGGGCGACAAAAGTTTGTCTGCCTCGTCCATGACGAACACAGGACACTCGCTGAGATCAGCAACGTTTTTGCCTGCTAAATCCAGGATACGTCCCGGTGTTCCAACGAGAACATGAACCGTCTCTGATAAGCGCATGATATCATCTTTGAGGGTTGTGCCGCCTGTGGTCACCATGACCTGGATACCCATATGTTTTCCCAATATTTTACAGACCTGGGATGTCTGGAGGGCAAGTTCGCGAGTAGGGACGAGGAGTAGGGCTTGAATCTTGTTCTTGCCGACATCAATTTGCTGTAATGAGGGTATAACGAAAGCAGCGGTCTTGCCTGTCCCGTTTTTAGCACGAGCAAGGATGTCACGTTTGGTGAGGGCGACAGGAATGGCTTCTTCTTGTATAGGTGATGGCCTTTCGAAACCTGCTTCAAAAATGCCCATGAGGAGTTCACGACGGAGGAACATGTCCTCAAATTCAGTTCCTTTGGTGTTTGTGACATCTTCTGTCTGTGGGCGCAAGTCTTTTGGTGGTGGACGAAGACCTGCCCTCCACGAAGCGTCAGTGGGAGTTGCGGATGAGCTACGAAATCAAAATTGCATTAGAAAAAGATAAGTTAAAAACAGGAAAGAAGAGCATACGCTGTGGATGTAGATGTAGATGGTCTTGCCGATTGAGACATGTTCACGGGTTGTTGTTAACGGTCACGGAGAGTAGATATTGGTAGTCGCTATTGGACGATGTAAAAAGGCAGGGCTAGTTTTATCAGCCACGCGTCTTGTACTGAGGTTTAGTATTTGTGGATCGATAACTCCTTTGTTTCTTGATCACGCCAAAAATGAATCGACAGGCTGACGATGAAGTTGTTGAAGGCTTAAAGGCTTGAAGAACGTTTGGGTTGAGAGTACTAGTTGGTCAAGTGCAAAACAGTTGGTTTCAATCCTACAAAGCCATTGAATTCAAGGTTTCCCGTTTTCTCACGACCCGCTATTGGACCCGCTTTACCTCTTGCACCTGCCCGAGCCAGGGTCCTGAACAACGTTAAACTCGCGTGACACGTCGGCCCTCGTAACGTAGGAAGGGCCTCTTAGTGACACGATTTCTCATCCCTGGGTCTCAGAATATCCGCTCAAGACTTTGTTGACAGCCACAGAAGGTGTAACAATTTATTTTGCGGTGGCCACGCTCACTATTCTATGATTCCAATCAACTTGAACTCTCTTGGTTTGTCACGCCCTCGTGTGGAGGTACGTCAGATGAACTTGCACGTGTTGACAAGCAGCCGGCTCATTTCCAGACTCGGTAGAAAAAAAAATCTCAGTGGCTGTGGGCCACGTCGAATAAGCATCGTTTTCGCAATGAATTGGATATCCTCTGAACCTAACAAAAGTGTGGCATAAATAATGTGCCAGGCAGCATCCCGCATGCGTTCAAGTTGACATCCAATCATGATGGTGCCTACCTCGTTTCTTTACACTCTCACAACATATAGGACGACCGTGAAACGGCGGTCCGCAGTACCTACATAGGCGGGTGCTATTTAAGCCTCGTGCAGGGTGCATCCGAGCCGGGACCCGCCCCTACCCTTCAAGTTCCGGACCGATAACGTACTGGGCGAAACTTTGCAAGCCCATCAGCACCCATGTCATACCTGCAGCCAATCTCAGAGTCACCCCAAGTGAAGTTCCAGCCCCCAAACTACCTCCTCATTCTTTGAAGAGGGCCGAGGGAGATATCAAGAAGCTGTGACTTGAATTAATGAAACAGCAGGTCCGGCAAAGGCAGGACGGCCATTTCGTGATCGCAAGCGAAATGATCTTATGGAATTGTGTCAACGAAAAGGAGCAAGGAGCAAGGAGGCTAATGTCAAAATGAAAGGGATCACCTTATTTCTTGTGCACGCGACGGGCTGAACTCCGATGGAAGTGAGTATCGTGCCGGTATACATGGTAATCTGACTATCCATTATGTATTAGATATAGGAGCCCACCATATGATATCTATCAGCTGCCTGTAGCGAGATATGGTCATATGGGTCAGTGTGACACGGGACTCTGCTTTGCTAAACAGACAGAATCTCAGTGGTAGGTGTGAGAGGATGCCTCTCATTCCTGCTTGACTGGAATTAATTAACAGCAGTTGATTGGACCGACAATATTGCGAGAGACATTACAAACTTTCACATCAACTACATGCCGGTTTATCTCCATCTATTCCATGTTCCATTGATGATTTACGACAAAAGAATGGCTTTTCTTCCTGTACCCTTGTTGCAGCAGGACACTCCTCCAGAGGTTGCTTGGCGTGTATCACTTGCGTTTCAGAGACCTGTTGGATCTCATGATAATTCATGAATTTTTGGGCCTTGTTTTCCTCGTCGATGCAATGATCAATACATGCTTAGGACTTGCGGGATCACACAGAATCCGCGGTTGTGGCTACCTTGGTAAGGCGCGAATAACTTTGGCCGTCACGGTGTTTAGATTACGATCATGATACTCGCGTCGGAGTATTGACCATGATTGTAGGTAGGGCGCCTGACATGCTTCAGCTCTATGTTGATTTTGGACTGCACGATGATGGAAGCGGACATGTTGGATTGAAAACACCTCCCACCCATGAAGCGCTCACCCTCGCCAACCCGGGAGCCAGCCACGAAACTCGATGGAAAGGTTTGACGGGAACATCGAGTCGCTTTGAATTATTCCTAGGATTCGCTGCCAGAATATTCAAGGCCGGAAGGTAAGACAAGATTTGCTAAACTATGCGACGGATCAATTGTAAAGAAATTTGGGAAGGAGCATGTTTGACGCAGGCCAGTAAACGGCATCTAACATCACCATCAGTTCGTTGTATCCCATCCTGAGACATTTCCATGTTTGATATAATTGCAGTTTCGATCCGTCAGGCGTCAGGATTTAGGAGAGCTTACCAGGTACATCATTACCTTACGGAACGTCATTTGATTGTGACTGACTATCCGCACAGCACAAATTATGACCGACTTTCTGCACAGGAAATAGTGTTTTCTCGAGAGCAGGACTCTGACATTTGTGCATGAATTCCTCGAGGCTAAAGCGTTTTTACCTGTCTAACTGCAGATCAGTCTACTATGTTAGCATCAGTTACATTGCGCTTTCAGTGAGTGTATGACATTTTCTGCTGGCAGATTCGAGGCATTAGACCAGCCACACATATTATATCCATAATTGCTAGTGTCAAACTTATAACGTGATATGACAATATTAATGTTGTAGCGCCTTGGGGCAAACGCAAGTGGTGATGAATTACTGAATTCACCATGGCAAAGCATCGCGCCGTAATCGTAGCTTCCCCTGATAATATGTAAGAATATCAATCGAAGACAGTCGTTTCTTCCGTAATCGTGTGAATTGGCAAAGTCGCATCAAGATCAGAAGCCGCAAGAGTCAGACTCCAAAGCCGTCGTTTCTCCTCCTGCAAATCGCCGTGTGCCACAGTCATGGGTCCCACGCCAACGTCTAGAGATGACCTTACCAGCCGTGTCCTCCCACAGATGATTCTTTCTGGCAAGTCAAATCCATTAACCAGACCATATACCCCCTTGTCAAGCGACCTCACGGTCGCACAAAGGGCGGCGGCAAGGTTTTCTGTCAAAGGCAATGCGATCGGTGGGTATAATCGAGTCAAGTGTACCGATCTTCACATCAAGCAATTCCTCAGTCACTGGAGGCTGCGGCAGCCTTGGGATCGAAGCAGCGCGTGCCCTGCTGGAGCATGGCGCGTCGGGTGTGTCGCTATTTGACGTCAATCTGGCGCAAGCCCAGGATATTGTTGATAGGTTGCGTTCTGATTTCCCATCGGCAACGATCATTACGAAGAAAGTAGACGTCCGCGATCAGCAGGTCGTTCAAGCAGCCGTCGCCGAGACTGCTGACGAGCTCGGAAGCTTGGATATTCTCCTGTGCTTCGCAGGTGTGGTCGCTTGTAACCACGCCCTTGATGTTGCTCTTGAAGAGTGGAAACGTACGCTTGACATCAATACGACAGGAAGCTGGTTGTGTGCCCAAGCAGTGGCAGAGTAAATCAATCCCATTTAAACTCGGAACCCACCTCCTGACAGTCCAAAGACAGATGGTCCAACAAGGGACAGGCGGTAGCATCATCTTTATAGCATCCATCTCTGGCCACAGTGTCAATTTTCCCCAGCCACAAGTCTCATACAATGTTTCCAAGGGCGCACTCCTGCAGCTGAAGAGTTCTCTTGCAGCCGAGTGGGCTCGGTATGGCATCCGTATCAACAGCATCAGCCCAGGGTATATGGATACAATATTGAATGAAGGTGAAGGACTTGAAGAAGCTAGGAGACTGTGGTACTCGAGAAACCCGATGGGACGCATGGGGGACCCGAGCGAGCTGACAGGTGTTGTGGTGCTCCTCTGCAGTCGTGCGGGGAGGTACATCAATGGGGCTGATATCGTTGTGGATGGTATGGCCTGCAATCTAGGTTCGAATGGAAATGCTTAACAAATGTTGTTCAGGCGGTGGTTCTGTTTTTTGATTGCCAGTACGTGACTATGTTTAAAATCAGATTATGGAGCAAATAACGTGGATTATGGACGTACCGACAACCTGGGAATGTCATTTAAGGGGAAAAGAGCGGGTTGCATAACGATGGTCATTGAAGAGTGTGAAATACGAATATGTTTTGAGGTCGTGGCGTTCTGTATCACGGTCATCGTTCGAAGCATAGCAGATTGAAATCAGAAGTCATATGCGCCAGCAAGGTGGCGCTGTGAAATTGAATGGATTCGCTGACACCGTCACCGTGGAGCTGGACCAATTTAATAGTCTCGAAGATCCCTTACCTACCAAAGCTCCACCATAAGAGTTATTATGAAAAGAGAAGGTGGACACATGAAAATGTGACAACCGCCCACACGCGGTGCGGATCCACCTGTACTTGAGTCTCCGTAGTCAGTCCTTAATAGAAGGAACGCGGTGCTTTCCACCTGTATTTTATACAGGATAGTGTGTTGTGTACATACTTTGAGGATAATTTGGCCAGGTTCTCGGTAGTGCGAAGCTGGTCCAGACCAAATCCAGACTGTTACGAAAAGAGCAGAAGATATACCAGAGATAAGGATGAAAGTCTCGAAATGAAGGAACAGAAGGACATGGGAAACGACGCGGCGACCCTAAATGGGTTGAAAATCACTGCAAATCAGACGACGAGGAACGAGGCGACACTCATGTGAACAGTTCAATTAGACGTGGCATTTATCACGATTCCTTGTCATGCATGCGCTTTGAATTTCCGCTGCCTGCCCCGTCGGGATTAAGCGTGAGCGCCAACGCGCCTGACTTCATGAATTTAAACTCTCGGTGTCCCTTCTTCTTACCAACCACACATTCACCTACTTAAGTAAGTGCCAGCTAGCAGGAAACATATATATGTGTATGCTAACAACGTTTTCTCAGCGACATCGCACAGGTCCTATCTGTTGTCGAGTCAACATCCACATTCTTTTGAAACCGACACTCGTTACACTTATATCTCAGCAGTTAGATATCGGACATGTTTACGCCTCCCCCGTCGCCTTTCCCATCCAAAATTTCTGAATTGCCCGAGCTGGAAATGACTAACGATACCCCCACACACGCTAACCCATCTGCGTTCCCCACACATTCATACCAATCCAAACGAAAATACACCCTTGCTCTTCGCTGGACGATCATATTGGTACCAATAACTCTCATCGCAATTGGCGTGTCCACGCGATTTTTTATTCATCCAACATCGTTTGATACCTTTTCGCCAAATTCAATCCACGAGTGGAAAACGTGGACCAAAAGCTTGACCGATTGGTCACTGCATGAAAGGCACAAACTTACCGAGAACTCCCTATGGCTCGCGATAGTACCTGGCACAAACGCGTTACCTGTCATCAAGAGGAGTACACTTTCGGCCACCCCTGCACCCACCATTCCAATAAATCCAACTTTGCCAACTCCATTTCCCCAGCCCTATGACACAACTTTGTCGCCAAATTTCTCCACCACATCCTGCTACAATTTCTTCCTTAATATGACACAGACAGATGCTTTACGATCTTGCCGCCCTTTCTCACTCTTGCTCACTCGCTCTCAAGCATTTATACAGGTGTGTTGCTTCCTAGATTGCATCCCGCACATTGTTCAACATCACTGTACTGTCCCACAAGCAGAATCAAAATAATATAAATGCAACGAACATAGATATTTGGGGAACGTGCAACACTGGCCTCTCCTCAAGTCAATGTGACCTAAACATGGCGTGGTTTACATCGTCACTGCGTTCTTCATGTGCTACCGATTTGAGTAACCAAAATGCTATGGCAATCGGCGCATTGATAGGTATGATATGAACAACAGCGATGCCGAGTGGGTTTCCTGACAACGAAATACTTCACGCAGGTCTTCAAGCATTTGACTTGATGCGGCAAGCAGCGTGTTCCGTGGATCCTGTGACAAATGCATATTGTTATGTCGAAGCTGTGGCGAGCTCTGATGCCTCCAGCTATTATTTCTACCAGCTACCCCTCGGACAGGCGCTGCCCCAAATTACCAGCGGGGCATGTAACTCTTGCACCAAGAGTCTCATGTCAATGTATTCAGCTGCTCTGAGCAGTGCAAACGCCACGAGCTTGACAGGATTGCAGGCTACGTACGGTGACGCGGCAACCAAACTGAACAATGTGTGTGGATCGCCTTATGCCCAAACTTCAACCGTGGCGTCCTCGTCGGCGCCGCCGAACGTTGACTTGACCAGCGTGGGAGGGGCCTGGGCTGTGCTGTTTGCTGTGGGTGTACTGTCGACTTCAATGTCGTCATAGGGTCGATTTGTTACCTGGGACAATTTATCGGCTGATCGTGTTTCATTGATTTTTGGGCTATTTAGTCTTCGTTTTCTTTGCGGATCTACTCACATGGGCGTGCGGGCTACCACTCTGGACTTTGTTCATTCTTACTACGTTCACAGCGTCAATTAGTATCCTACGGTCAACCGCTGTGTATCCAATACCTTTTCGTGTGTACCACTAAATTTGAGATGATGAACCATTTCATTTTTGCGGTGATCGGTTGTATATGCTTTGTGTCACAGCTTTGTTCGGCATCGGATGTTCGTTCCGCTCTTGTAATGGATCTAGATTCGTCCCTGGCTTCAGGTTATTCCCCTTGTATTTACAGGCCTGTGCAGGCACAGTAGAAACCACGAATGGTGTGAGTTTGAAGTTTGAGGGTTTTGATTGATTGTTTCTTTTTTGGCACAGCCAATCATTGTCGAGGGGCATGTTGTGTCTTTGTCATGTCATTAATATCGTGGTTTTAGTGGTTCTTCCTCGTCCCGGATCATGTTCTTGGTCGCTGTCGGACTTAATGATCACTGCAGCCGCTGCTATTCTGCTCTCGAGCGTTTGCAAGCGTCTCCGCCAGCCCCTCAACGCGCTTGCGATTATGGATGCAATGAGTATTAGATCGTAAATAAATAGAAGCTCGTCCAGGCGCCTTGCAAACGTCAAATGGCAGCCTTTCATACATGCGCTTCGCAGATCACCCATCTCTATAAACCAACTGGGCAGCACAATTGGTTGGTGAAGAAGGCTCTCAATGATGTAACATTGTGATTAGACCGCAGGATTCCATAGAACTTCGCAATTTGTTGCCCCAAGTCATGATGAGCTGCGAGATGTGATGTGTGTGCGCAAGCCTTCTCTCCAGTGTGTTTTTGTCAAAACTCTCATCGACTTTTTAATTGTGAACAATCCTTGGTATCAGCAATGCAGGGTCAATATGAATGACTTGTTCGATATGTGTGGGCCGTGATGGTGATGTGAATACTGGTGTTCCGCGAGTGTTGAAGATATGTCGCAAAGAAGCGAGGCCATCGTTTCACATCGCTGATGCGCATCATATACTTTTAGCAACCAAAATCGTACAGGCAAACACAGCCAACACTCACAGTAACAACGATTCAACATTCAACCTTGGCTGTCGGCAATGATTCGGTGTGCCTTTCGACGGCCCATCGATGTCGACAGTATCTCAACGAGAACAACAGGCGAGTGGCAAAGTGTATCCCCCGCTTTGACGCACCCTACGAAGTGGTGTCTGGACTCTGAATCAACCAACTGTGTATCATCTACTTACACTCTAGACCTACCTGAACATACTAACATGGGGATGGCCCGACAACCATCACAGGGGTCCTGGGATGCCCGGAGGACCGTGGTATAGCAGTTGCAGCCTGTGCAGGGCACTGCAGGGAGGGAATCGTTTCTGCGACGACTTTCATCAATTTCCTTTTTGGTTAGACCCACGTGAAATTTTAATCCAGTGCCATTACAACTGCTGTAATCTCGCCTTGGCACACGATACTTACTTCCATTCCGAACAACGACAACGGCAAGCTGGTCTTAGTATACGTCCTTCCTTCAATACTTTCCTAGGCCCACTGCTACGACTAAGATTCTGTGTAGCACTCTATTGTCACATGTGCACTGCCCCCTTTTCTACCCCCCGTCCATTCCTTGTGACCAAACAGCTATGTTTCACTCCCGTCTGCGGGTACGTGTTGGGCCATCGATGGATAAGCTTGTTTGTATCACAGACAAAGTGAATAGCGGAAAGGCGCACGACATATCTTCGGAATTGTTCGAAGGCAAGGTCGCTATCAACATCAAAGGTTTCACCAATCCCTCTGGCAAAGAGCATTACGCGGAGTACTTTGACCGAGAAGATAGGAAAGGGATCACATGGAGTATCCAGGTTCAGGGTGAGTCCAAGCATTGCTGTACTTCGGATATTGTTCGTTTTATCTGATGGCTGTGTGGTAATTATATTAGGCCGGTTCCTACAACCGACTTCAGCAGATGATGTGATGTTTGGAAATACGTTCGACAAACGTTTAAAGCTGCCTTGGGGTGCTGGTGTGGCGCTCAAATTCATGAAGTGAGTATGCTGTTGTGTTCGTTCAGAATTGGACGATGCCGTACACGGCGATAGGAGCTAATAATAATTGTTAGATTCGTTGACCCTACCTTGGAACATGACTTGATGTCGGACACGAAGCCGTGGGCCCTTTCACCACTGATCGCAACAATGCCCCATTTCGTGCACGAAAGAATAGACGACATCCGGGCTTCGCCCCTGCTAGAGAATAGACGGTCAGAGTTCTCGTTTCCACCCTCACGATCAATAGGCGAGGATACCTCGCAGTTGCAATTTGCCATTGCGTCCTCGAATTCTTCTAGCTCTACATATTTGACCTCATACTCGTCCAATTCTACGTTTGTGACACCATCCCCGTCATTATCAGTTGCCTCATCTTCATCTAACCTCTCGAGTTTGCCGAAAATGCCTGGTTCATTGGGCGTCTCGTCAAATAATTCACTTAGGTTGCCTCTTGAAAAAGCACATATGAAGAAGAATCATAAGAGGATATTTGGTCGTGCGCTGGATCTACGGACTACAAGCGAACGCAGGTCATACTTTAGCAATCCTCAACATCGACAAGAGATTGTATTTGGACCTGAGGTATTGTCGTTCATCATTTTAACCATTGTCTACTGACAGCTCCTTCAGGATCTGATCACGACAGATTTTTGCTATGGGTATCTGCAATTCAAACCGACTCTTGCCTTAAGGATTTCAGGTGGTATGACATTCG